TCATAGCGCAGCGCGCTAACCGCTACACTACCGCTCCCCACAACACACACATACACACACACATACACACACACATACACACACATACACACAAACAGACGTTGGGGTGGCCCGTGGCAGCAAAGCCGCACGCTGCCCCTCTCGTGCTCTCGCGGGGGGGCGGGGGGATGGGGGGGGGGATGTGGGGTTCGTCTCTGCGGCCAGCACGAGACAACCGTCAGCGTGAGTCACAGAGGCAGCGCCAACTCCGACCCATGGCTGACCGCGCTCCGGTGGCCTGGGATTTGAACTTCGGGGAAACCTCGCGAGGTTGCCTCGAGTCCTCGGGGCTGGAGCGGCGGTCGGCGCCCTGCAAACCCGTGACCCGAGTTTGACTCCCAGCCACGGCCAACATCAGTGGCAAGTGACGTCTTAAAATACCAGGGTACAGGGTGCGTCTCCTGGTCCGGAGGATACCGTCAATTGAATTCAATGAAGGCTGAGCACCGACGAAGCGTTGATTTGGAGCGAACGAGAAGCGCTTTGACAGCGTTCAGCGAGCCGTGCGAGGGTTTCGGAGACAGCGACGGGGGGGAGCCGAAAACGCCGTCGCGAGCGGTAAATCACCGATACGGCAACGGAGACGAACGGAGAGCCTCCAAACGCCTCGAGTGTTTTCCATTGAGAAGAGGCAAAAAAAAAGGAACCAGCATTCAATCAATTCATGTCACGGTAAAATAGAACGAAGGTGTTATGAATATCAATGTTTCTGTCGCACGAAATGGAGAGAACAGGCGCAAAGATGCCGCTGCGGTAACGGCCCGCAAGGGAACCCTTGTTGACGCATCGCCACAGAGAGCCACCCCCTGGGGCCTGTCGGATTATATCGGGGAGGGGGGGGGGTAACTCAATAATCATCAGTCACGAAAAGGGGTTCACAGGAGGCTAAGGAGGAGTAACTGGTGCCGTAAATAAGAGAACGTGGCGTGGTAAGTACCGCGGTACTTACCATGGTACTTACCGTGGTACTTGCCGCAGTTCTTACCGCTGAGCCTCTACAACGCCACGGCTCCAGGCGTGAGCACGCGCGGTTTACAAGCCGGCCCGGCATCTTCATGCGACGCGCGACACGCGAGGTGGACGGGGTCGGTGGGTTGTGGCGAGCCTGCCCCGGGGTCACGCGAGGTCGCCGCTAGGCCCCACGCGACGGCCCGGGAGGCGGTGGGTTCAAGCGGCACGTCGGCACAGATCGCGAGTACGTACGTGTGTGTGTATATGTGTGTATGTACGTGTGTATGTACGTGTGTATGTGTGTGTATGTACGTGTATGTACTTGTGTATGTGTGTGTATGCGCGGGGAGCGGTGGTGTAGCGGTTAGTGCGCCGCGTTACGAACCCGACCACCCGAGTTCGATTCCCGCTCACGGCCAACACTGGTGACGATTATCTGAACCGGTCCTGGGCCTCCCCTAGGTCGACTCAGCCTCAAATGAGTACCTGGTGCGGTGCGTAAACATCGCCACTGGGGTTAAGAACGGCGGCCCGGTGTGGTGCTGGCCACCCACCCCCTCGTGTACCGTTCTGGCCTTCATAGGTGCTCGCTAACAGCACTTGCCCCAACAGTTTAAGGCTACACGGGGGATCTTTGTATGTATGTTGTACGTGTGTACAGCTCTCCCGATGTGTTTTCGGATTGCTCCGCGTGCCGTTCAACAACGACTAGTCTGACGTTTCACTCCCACGTGTTGGGAGGATCCTTCAGGAATGGAATGTACGCACGTTGAACTTCTTTCGCACCGTACGTAGCCAACCGTGCGAATCGGAGGTGCGGGGTACTAATGAGTGTCTCCTTGCGAGTCTCTCCATTCCGCCCCACACTGCCGGGCGACACCGCCGGGCTCCGTACCGCAGCGGGGGGAACGTGCCGCCCCCTTACCTTGGTGCCGTAGACGGTGGTCTTCCTCACACACAACTTCTCCGTGAACGCCACCATGGAGAAGCTGGCGGTGGTGCCGCCCTCGAATTCCATGGTCACCACCTGGGAGTGGGAGTGGGGGGGGGGCGGGGGGCGTGGGCACGGTGCGGGGTGAGCGTGGAGCGGAAGAGGGGGCCGCCGCCGCCGCCACGTGGCCCCCCCGGAGGGTCACGGCGCTGAGCGTTTGATACCGGGGGGGGGGGTGGGGGGGGGGTGTTTCAGCCACCCGTGGTGAAACCGGCCTCTCAAGCGTGGCGTCAGCCCAGTCACCAACGAGTGCACCAAACAAACACGTGACACATTCTAAACTAAACTGAACAGTTTTTATTTTTACCAGGTAAGGCCCCACTGAGCTATACAGCTCTTTTTTCAGAAGCAATCTGGTTGCCGCAAATGATTGCTCAACGAAGTGGCTTATCACGTGCAAATTTATTGCAGCCAAATGCTCTAAACGCGTGTTACGTTCATTCTGAATGTAGAAGGAAAAACCGGAGGACCCGGAAAGAAATCCACACGACCACAGGGAAGGGAGACACCACAAACTACAAATATCCAGCGGGCGTCAGGGTCGGAATCGAACCCACGACCTCCTGCATACCTGGGGGGGTAGTTAGCATCTACTAGCCACCGAGGTCTACCAGGCGAGGTAGTTAACATCTTGCCCCCGTGTGCTCCGTTTGGCTAAACCCCAGCTCTGAGGATCAAAGTATCGGTTCGGCGTCGTGCGATGAACCCCGATCCCCTGCGCAGCGCCAGCGGAAAAGCGCCGCCCTCAACCGTGTGGCCCAGAGGTCACCCGAAGGGGTCACGGAGGCAGTTCCGCGACCTGCACTTCCGCGGGCGGTGCTCTTGCGGGGGATCTGAACGGATCGTTCGTCTCACGACACGACTCTGCTACGAACTGCCACCACCACCGCCGGAGCACCGCTCGGTGACCGGACAGATGCGGTGGGGGGGGGGGGGGGGAGTTCGCGAGGCAAAGAGCGCCACGTGTCCAGCACCGACATTGACACTTGGCCACGCGGATGGCGACGACGCCAAGAACCAAACGGCTCCACGGCGAACGAACAAAGCAGAGCGTTGGCACTCCTCGGTGTGGACAGCAAGTCGGGGATCGCAAAGAGGACTCCTTAGGGACGTAGATCGGGGACCAGTCCGGGCATAGAGAGGCAGACGCTAAAGGGCGCAGGGTTCTCTATCCAGGCCGTGAGTGCGAGGGGCGGGCGAGGGCCGCTAAAGAAGGACGCTGCTACGCCCAAACTCCGAGCGCTGGAGGTGAACGTGACGTGAACGTGACGTGAACGTGACGTGAACGTTATATAAACGTTACGTAACCGGCGCTCGCCGCCAAACCGGCACGCATGACGAGCGCCGGCCCGAGTCGCCCGCCGGCCGGCACGTAAATCCACGGGGGACTCCTCCCATCGATACGACCGCAGCCGCCGCCCTCCCGCCCCCCCGGCGTGCACGCCGGGCAGACGTGCCGCGTTCGCCAATCTCGCGTGAGCCGCGTGCCAGCGTAGGGGCACGGCGTCGCATGCCCGACGCGCGTTGTAGGCGGAGGCGCGAAGGACGAGGCGTGGACACTCGCGCTGACTCTGGTGTGGACGGATTTAGCGCGAGGCACCCGCGGGCGCTCGCTCGCTCGCCCCGGACCTCCATAGAAGTGAACTCCAACGGCGTTGTCCAGTGAGCCGGAGCGTGACGGTGACCACCGCGCGAACAAAGGGCTTCAACTGGATCACGCGAAGGTCGATGGTTGCGCCCACGTGTGCACAAATAGGTCACTGGACAAAGTTAAAGTGGAAACGGAATTAAAATTTGGGGGGTGGGAGGGGGGAGGGGATTAGATCGCGTGAATATAAATGCGTCGTTAAAACCCGCCACCACCCAACATGGCCAATTAGTAAGGTTAGTGTCACGTGACTAAAACGTGCCAATTAGTCACTAGTTCAGCACACCGGCGTATGTACGTTCTGTTTACGTGACAAACCTTACTATTTGGCCGTGTCGGGTGGTGTCGGGTTTCACGACACATTTACGCGATCTAACCCATTTGTCGTAAAAGCCTGCTAAGTGAGCGGATGTGCGCGAGATTAAGGACGCGCGACAGCGTGTGACGAGATCGGGTTTGCGAACACCTCTAGCGCAGGACAGCTTAGCCCACGCACCAATACCACACTGGGTGCGGGCAGTTGATTGGTCAGGGCGGATACGTGACGGCGACGGTCGGATACGCGACTGGCCCTGTTCGGTGCGTCCGTGAGGCTGCTTGCCCCCCCCCCCCCCCTTCACTCCGCCGAGCCGAATCAGCCACTCTGGGCCAAACCGCCACAAGGCAACACTTGACACGCGGATGACTTCATGGCGACACCGACAGCATTACGTGCACACCGCGGTCGAGGCTGACGCCGGAGAGAGGCAGGCGAGGGTAGGGAACGCGCCTGATGGGACGCCGGCCGCGGACATGGAGCGATGAAATCGGCCGGTGTGCTGGTGGTGCCGGGTGGATTGTTGCATCACAAGACCGTAAGAGGTGGCGATGCTTGGGGGGGGGGGGGGGGGGCTTGCCTACACTCGTATGCTGCCAAGGGGGCTAATTACTACGCGTGTGTACACGTTAGTACACGTGTACCCACACACGTGTGCTACGTGCCATTCACCCGTGTTGTAAACAGCAGTACTGGGAAGACAAAGGCGGCCTACGGGGCGTGGTGTTGGCCACCCTCGCATGTCGCACCGGCCTTCATAGGTGCTACTCGCTAACAGCACTTGCCCCAACAGTCTGTTCAGGCTACACGGGGGGTGGGGGTGGTCTTCGTCTGCATGTGCGTGCCAGGCGCGGTGCCCACCTGGTTGGTGGCGACGTCGTTGTCGCTCTCGTAGACGCAGCGTCCGTAGGGGCCCGAGCACAGGGCGTCCCGCACCGCCCCCACGCTGGCCTCGCCGTCCGGGCAGACCACGTCCAGGGGCCACCCCACGCGGCCCTGCGGCACAGACGCCACCACCGCCACCCCTCGCGCTCAGCCGTCGCCTCCGTCCCGTCTCCCGGTCGCGGCGGTTCAAACAATTCGGCAGATTTCATAAATCATCTCCCCCCCCCGCCTCCGCAAACCCAACCCAACGACGCCGGAAGTGGCACGAGCCGGCAATTTCAGAGCTGCACCTGTGCAGTTTAACACGCAGCAGAAGCAGCAGGAGCAGCAGCAGCAGGAGCAGCAGCAGGAGCAGCAGGTGCAGCAGCAGCAGCAGCAGGAGGCTTTCGCGACCAATATTATCCATCGTAAAGGGTTTTTTTGGGGGGGGCAGGGTTAGATCGCGTAAATATATAAATGTGTCGTTAAACCCGCCACCACCTGTCACAGCCAATTAGTGAGGTACGTTACGTAAACGTAAAATGCCACTGCGTTCCTCGTACAGCAGCACCGGCGTGTTGGAGAGCAAACCCACGACAACACTGACAAGTCGAGCACCGTGACGTTTCGCTGGCGATTACAACGACGACGACGACGACAGCTTCATCAGGCGATTTGCCCGAATTGTCAATAAGTCTTCTTGCCGTTTTTAGTCTTAGGTAGAGGAGGTCAAGGTCGTGTCATCACTGTGGGCCTATCAGGTGCGAAGAGCAGAGGGGGAGGGGAGTAATTAATTCAGTCATATAGATGACAATGGATCATGTTCATCTGAGAACATGCAGGACCTACTATTATTATTATTGTTTGGGTGAGTCACACGGTTCGTCAACGCACAGCGGAATGGTTTTCCCTTTCACCGTGCGGCACGCGCTGCGAGCGCGAGCGGACGAGCTATCGGGCGTGCGGCCACACATCAAGTGAGGAACGCTCTCGCGAGGTCACGGGACAGACCCGAGGTGTCGCGGGTCAACTGACTGAGATCGCCGTGAACCAACAGGCCACTGCTGGTGACAACAAAGACGCCTCGCTGTAGCCTTGAACAGACTGTTGGCGCAAGTGCTGTTAGTCAGCACCGATCAAGGCCGGCACGGCACACGAGGGGGTGGGCGGCCAACACCACGCCCGCCCGCCCGCCTTTGTCTCTCCAGTGCTCGTGTTTACCACACACCACACCGGGTACTCACTTAAGGTTGAGTCGACCTAAAGCCAACAAAGACACACGCACATATTTACGATTCACAATTAGTTTTGTTTGCGTTTAACCGCTGCAATGCCTGATGGCGCCGGATGTATTCGCCAGCGAAATCAAATTGTCCAAACTTTTCCCTGCTTTGCAACATTCCTCCGGTTCTGCTGAAAAAAAACCCAAATGAATTATAGGTGTACAGAATTTCCCCACGTGACAGCTGGAATTGAATGGCGTTGTCGGTGATGGGAGGATTATAGTTAATAACTTTACGCTATGCCTGCACTACCTAACTCAAAAGAAAACCATTGTGAATTGTAAATATTGGCCGTGACAGCCCGCGTTTAAAGTTAACAAATACTCGCTTATCTGTCTCCGTGCAGAGCAGCTCTTGAAAGGCAAAATCTACCAGACATCTGTGAACTACTGGACATCTGTGAAAAAGAGCTCTCATTGGATTCCTCCGGTATTAATAACATATTCTGATTCTGAAACGAAACGCTGCCATCTTCTTACAGTATCTGTTATTTGTTTGTAGACCGCGGTTCAAAAAAGTTCACTTCACCTGCACGCCCCCACAGTGGCCGGGGCGTGCAGGAGAGGCGGGGGAGACGGAGTGAGACCCGGGCCCGTTAGCTCAGCCGCTACTCCACTGGGCCACTGAGCCTCTGAGCCTCCCGTGTCCTGCATCGGCCCAGAAATTAAAAAGGCCTGATGCGAAGAGGACGATTGTTACCTTTAGATTATAATACTGAATGAAATAAAAAAAAGTAGGAGGGACCGTGCCAACGGTATCCACCTCCTGCCCACTGGAAATCATCGTCACGTGAATATGCTTGGAAAAATTATCCAGAATGCAACACCTTCGCTGATCTTGTCCAGGAACATAAAACATCACGCAAACTCCGGTCATCCTCGCAGCAGCAGCAGCAGCGGCGGCAGCGGCGGCTTCTGGATAACCGTTGAACAAAGATTTGTCACCGCATAGCACGGTGCTTTCAGAAGCGCTTCTGCGGCCGTCTGGAACATTCCTCCTTTCGATATTAGAAAGGCACTGGAGCTACGCACTTTTAAATCATCTACATTGACGAAGTAATTTCTACGGAACTGTTTTTAGTGTTTAGTTTTTTGTCCTTCCCCCGCACCTCCGATTAGCACGGTTGGCTACGTACGGTGCCAAAGAAGTTCAACATACTTACGCACATACATAGAGGAATGTGGAATTTCCCTCACTGGCTCTAGAGGGCTGTAGACATGACATGAGCGCCAGTGCCTCAATGCTCATTTGTGGAGGAAATCTCCTCTGGCTTTTGGATGCGTGGAACTCAACAGGTCATAGAACCTCAACTCACAGCGGCTGCATGCCGGTTCTTATTCGGATTGGGAGGCATCTCATGCCATCGTCCGTGCAAAGGCCGTGTACATTGAGTGCCCCTTTGTTGCAAAATGAGGACAATTTTCCAAATAGTAATAGTTTTTTACCCTTTCAACTGGTACAAAAACTGACACCTTTATAATGTCACTACACGCCTCTGCCATTGTAATATGGAATTTACACCACTCATTTAACACAGGGACGCTCTGTGACTTGACCGGCACGTATCTCTGGAAAGAGCCGATCTATCGTACGTGCATTTAAAGAACCCAACGCCATTGTGTTACGTACCAACGGGATCCCAGAGGAATCCCCTGCAAGTCGAGGTGACCGGATCACAACGACTTAGAATGACGAATCCCTGTTCATGCATTGACGAGTTGTGCTTCATCATTATTGCTCTGGCTATAATTCAATCTCCAGTGCGGTGGATGTGGTGGTGGTGGTGATGGTGGTCCAGCAAAAACAACCCCCTACCTCCTCGTGGTGCCAGACGGCAACGCTGTGGTGGGCAGTGCCGTGGGGGGAGGGCCAATTTAGATTGGCCTTTCCCTTCATGGCATTTGTAACCACCAAGCTTGTGCTGGAGTCTATGACGTCTCCTGGCTAAACCCCATTTGTCGGAGCCAGAAGACTGAATCCTTAGCCTGGGGGCTCCTCCAGAAACAACAAAAAGCCACTTCGGATGGCCACGTGGAATGTCCGAATGCTCACTGCGGAGGAGAGGCTGCCATTCCTCTGTCAGGAGCTGGATGGGTACCGCCAGAATCTCTGTGATATTCAGGAGGTCCGATGGACCGGCTCTGGCTCCTGCCACCATGAGGGGTGGACAGTCCTCTTCTCGGGGCAGGAGACTGCCAAACAACAGGAAGTGGCTCTTCTTCTGAACAAAACAATGAAGGGGGCGTGGGAGTGTGGCGGTGAGGTGTGGGAAGCTGTAAGCTCCAGGCTACTTTGGGCTCGCCTTCCCATCAACCAGAGGCGAGGAGTGGTGGTCAAGGTTACTTATTCCCCCACCGAAGATGAACATCTATGGAGGGACGCAGGCAAAGCCGATGACTCAGATGCCTTCTATGACCTCCTGTCACAGGTGCTGGCTAAAGTGGCCCCTCGGGACAGAGTCATCTTGTGGGGTGACTTCAATGCACGAGTTGGTCATGATGTTAGCACCTGGTCTGGAGTGATTGGAAGACATGAGCCAGATCAGCTCAATAACAACGGTAGGAGGCTGCCAGATGTTTGTGCAGCCCAACACGCTGTTCCGGCATCGGCGCATCCACACAACATCATGGATGCATGCCGGGTCCAAGAAAGAACATCTGCTGGACTATATAGTGAAGAAACAGTGTATGCGGGCCCATGTCCTTGACATGCCTAAACAGCTTTTCTTCGGCCGGATCGAGGGGGCTAAACAGGCGCGGCACGGGCGAAAGACAAAATGGAGTGATGTGGTACAGGAGGATGTGGAGCTGAGTGGACTTGCGGATGACTGGTACCAGCGGTGTCAAGATTGACCTCTGTAGAGGAAGCTCGTGAAGGACGCTACTGGGTAGTTTGAGGCAGTTGCCCTCCAACAACAACGGAGGGGGGAGGAGCGACGCTCACAACAACGAGCGGAGCGCCGGGTGGCTAAAGCACAGCAAGTTGGCACAGTAGGGGGCACAGCTGGTGCATCAGCCAGTCATCTCGGTCATCTCGGTCAGTCGACCCGTGGCACCTGGGTCTGCCCCGTGACCTCCTGCCAGCGGGCGTTCGACACTCCACGTGGCCTCAACATGCACATGGCCTGGCACAAGCGTCGTGGTGACGTCACCGCCGCTTAGTGGAGAATGGCGGTTGTTGTTGGTGGGGGGGGGGGAATGAGACGAAACCGCCGAGGAATCGTAGCAATCATCGGGCAGCGCGTGAGGAGCGACCGATGGAATCGACAATAACGGGTGGGGGGAGCAGGATGGGGGGGGGGGGCGTTCACGATGGAGCGCCGGGTACCACGGAGACGGCAGCTCCATCAGCAACATGAAGCAGCAGCAGCAGCAGTATCACGCAGCTGCAGTATCACGCAGCAACAGCAGCAGTAGCATGCAGCTGTAGTAGCAAACAGCAGCAGCAGTAGCAGCAGCAAGCAGCAGCAATAAGCAGCAGCAGTAGCAACAAGCAGCAGCAATAAGCAGCGGCAGTAGAAGCAAGCAGCAGCAAGCACAAACAGCAGCAGCGGGAGTAGCAGCGGCGTCTTCCCACAAAAGTGGCGGTGATCTATTCACCGCGGAGGAATGAATGAATGAGTCACTCGCACTGCTCCCCGTTGATGCCCACGGATTCTACTAGCCCCCCCCCCCCAGGGCTTCCGTGTGGAGTGCCGCCCAGACGGGTGACCTTCGCCGCCATCGTCGGAGGTCACGGGGAGGAGCGACGGCGTTCGAATTGCACCCCCAAGTGTCTCCCGCGAGTCGAGGCAACGGGCGACGCCATCCTCTGTCGGCTGTCCTAAGCCGGTGATGAAAATTCCACATTCCTGTGAGGGGATCGCCACTGCACCTCTGTCCGCACCCAGCGGTGTCGATGGTGACACCGCAACTGTAATCATCGATTAGCAGGCTGCTTGTGATGGGGTAAAGCGTGTCTACTAACCACCTCTTCAAAGACGACACGGTGGCTATGAGATGTTAACTACCTCGCCTGGTATACAGGAGGTCGTAGGTTCGATTCCGACCCCAAGGACACCTGTGTTTTTTAAATTTGCGTGTCTCTCGTCCCGTGGTCGCGTGGATTTTTCTCCGAGTCCTCCGGTTATTCCCTCCACATGTAGAATCAACATCACGCGTTTAGATTATTTGGCTGCTGCTATACATTTCCATGATGATAAGCCGCTTCGTCGAGTTATCATTTGTGGCCAGGTCGCTTCTGAAAAAGAGCTACATAGCTCAGTGGAGCCTTACCTGGTAGAATAAATAAAAACTGTTTAGTAGGTTCTAGTTTAGTTGAAAGACATCTGTCCAGCGCGGAAGAATAAACCAAACGCCACTCTCGATGAGGGAGCTCTCAGGAGCTTGCCCCGGCAGTGGCCAGAGTGGACAAGTGCGGGGCTGCACCTCTACCGAGACCCAATGAAGGGGATTCCAGTTATCCCAAGAGCCGAGCACCGGTGCATTGCCAGGGAGTGGCACTCGTGGTAACCTTGGTTTATTACACATGTGCCACTTACTTACAGACGGGACACATGCTCAAGCCGCGCACCAGCGCACGCCTACATGGGCGACGAGCGCGTGTGCGTGTGTGGACGTGTGTGTGCGTGTGTGCGTGTGTGTGCATGTGTGTACGTGTGTGTGCGTGTGCATGTGTGTGCGTGTGTATGTGCGTGTATGTGTGTGTGCGTGTATGTGTGTGTGCGTGTGTGTGCGTGTGTGCGCGTGTGTGTACGTTGGGAACGGTGGCGCAACGGTTAGTGCGCCACGCTACGAACCCGGCGATCCGGGTTCGATTCCCGCTCACGGCCAACACTGGTGACGATTATCGAAACTGGTTCTGGGCCTCCCTTAGGTCGGCTCAGCCTCAAATGAGTACCTGGTGCGGTGTGTAAACATCGCCACTGGGGAGACAAAGGCGGCCCGGCGTGGTGTTGGCCACCCACCCCCTCGTGTACCGTGCCGGCCTTCATAGGTGCTCGCTAACAGCACTTGCCCCTACAGTCTGTGAAGGCTACACGGGGAGATCTTTGTCTTTGTGTGTGCGCGTGCGTGTGAGCTCACCCCCATGGCCATGGCCAAATACTTGGTGGCCGAGTACGCGCAGCCGTCGCTCAGGGCGCAGTCGACGCAGCGGGACGACGCCCCTGGTGGCTGCACGCACGCGAGGGGGCGGCACGGCACGGACACAGACTCAGAGCGGCCGCCACCCCCCCACGTGCCCTCGCCCACACACAGGCACCGGCAATGCAGCGCGCGGCGCGGTTACACGAAACTCTGCATCGCGCTGCACCGTTGCACACCGCTCTGCTCCATTCCACACCGCTCTGCACGGTTCTGCACCATTCCACACCACCCTGCAGCCTTGCATTATGGGGTACGTTACTACAATCGCAAAACTTATTTGCTAGCTAACAGGGAGAACACGGACGCTTTTGAAAGTTCCGTCTGCACGGTGTTTGTGCGCTCATGACCAATGCAGTGGTTAGTTTAATACACCTGGCTCTGCTTTGCGTTCATTCTGAATCGACGGTGCCATTTCACCTTCGTTTCCCGTCGTTTTCTGTCGTTCGGCGCTGTGCGCGACTGATGCCCTGCGTCACCCATCAGAGTTTGATGATGACAATCTCTAAAGTCACCCTGGACGCCCGTGCGAGAGGACGAGAGATGAGAGAAGGGAAGAGAAGCGGAGGGAGAGCGCGGAAGAGAGGGCAGCAGGAGAAGCAGCGAGAACGACATCGCAGAGTCCGGAGGCCACGCTGCACAGGAGGAGCGGGGGAGCCGAGGGCACGGAGGCGAATGGGGGAGGCCTGTGCCCAGCAGTGGACAGTCACAGACCGCCGACAACAACAGAATCAGAGACTCATAGACTCACACAGAGACCCATAGACTCACGTAGAGACCCATAGACTCACATAGAGACCCATAGACTCACACAGAGACCCATAGACTCACACAGAGACCAATAGACTCACGTAGAGACCCATAGACTCACACAGAGACCCATAGACTCACACAGAGACCCATAGACTCGCACAGAGACCCATAGACTCACACAGAGACCCATAGACTCACACAGAGACCCGCAGACTCACATAGAGACCCATAGACTCACACAGAGACCCATAGACTCGCACAGAGACCCATAGACTCACACAGAGACCCATAGACTCGCACAGAGACCCATAGACTCGCACAGAGACCCATAGACTCACACAGAGACCCATAGACTCGCACAGAGACCCATAGACTCACACAGAGACCCATAGACTCACATAGAGACCCATAGACTCACACAGAGACCCATAGACTCACACAGAGACCCATAGACTCACACAGAGACCCGCAGACTCACGTAGAGACTCATAGACTCACACAGAGACCCATAGACTCACACAGAGACCCATAGACTCACACAGAGACCCGCAGACTCACGTAGAGACTCATAGACTCACACAGAGACCCATAGACTCACACAGAGACCCATAGACTCACACAGAGACCAATAGACTCACACAGAGACCCATAGACTCACACAGAGACCAATAGACTCACACAAAGACCCTTAGACTCACGTAGAGACTCATAGACTCACACAGAAACCCATAGACTCACACAGAGACCCATAGACTCGCACAGAGACCCATAGACTCACACAGAGACCCGTAGACTCTCACAGAGATCCATAGACTCTCACAGAGATCCGTAAACTCACACAGAGATCCATAGACTCTCACAGAGACCAATAGACTCACACAGAGACCCATAGACTCACACAGAGACCCATAGACTCTCACAGAGACCAATAGACTCACACAGAGACCCTTAGACTCATACAGAGACCCATAGACTCTCACAGAGATCCGTAAACTCACACAGAGATCCATAGACTCTCACAGAGACCAATAGACTCACACAGAGACCAATAGACTCACACAGAGACCCATAGACTCATACAGAGACCCATAGACTCTCACAGAGATCCGTAAACTCACACAGAGATCCATAGACTCACACAGAGACCCATAGACTCGCACAGAGACCCTTAGACTCACACAGAGACCCATAGACTCGCACAGAGACCCATAGACTCACACAGAGACCCTTAGACTCACGTAGAGACCCGTAGACTCACACAGAAACCCGCAGACTCACACAAAGACCCATAGACTCACATAGAGACCCATAGACTCACACAGAGACCCATAGACTCACACAGAGACCAATAGACTCACACAAAGACCCTTAGACTCACGTAGAGACCCGTAGACTCACACAGAAACCCGCAGACTCACACAGAGACCCATAGACTCACACAGAGACCAATAGACTCACACAGAGATCCGTAAACTCATACAGAGACCCATAGACTCACATAGAGACCCGCAGACTCACACAGAGACCCGCAGACTCACACAGAGACCCATAGACTGACACAGAGACCCATAGACTCACACAGAGACCCATAGACTCACGTAGAGACCCGTAGACTCACACAGAGACCCGCAGACTCACACAGAGACCCATAGACTCACACAGAGACCCATAGACTGACACAGAGACCCATAGACTCACACAGAGACCCGCAGACTCACACAGAGACCCGTAGACTCGCGTAGAGACCCACAGACTCACACAGAGACCCGCAGACTCACACAGAGACCCACAGACTCACACAGAGACCCGCAGACTCACACAGAGACCCGTAGACTCACACAGAGACCAATAGACTCATACAAAGACCAATAGACTCTCACAGAGATCCGTAAACTCACACAGAGATCCATAGACTCACACAGAGACCCATAGATTCACACAGAGACCCATAGACTCACACAGAGACTCATAGACTCAAACAGAGACCCGTAGACTCACACAGAGACCCGTAGACTCACACAGAGACCCGTAGACTCACACAGAGACCCGTAGACTCACACAGAGACCCGTAGACTCACACAGAGACCCATAGACTCGCACAGAGACCCATAGACTCACACAGACACCCGTAGACTCACACAGAGACTCATAGACTCACACAGAGACCCGTAGACTCACACAGAGACCCATAGACTCGCACAGAGACCCATAGACTCACGTAGAGACCCGTAGACTCACACAGAGACCCACAGACTCACACAGAGACCCATAGACTCACACAGAGACCCATAGACTCACACAGAGACCCGCAGACTCACACAGAGACCTGTAGACTCACGTAGAGACCCGCAGACTCACACAGAGACCCGCAGACTCACACAGAGACCCGTAGCCTCACACAGAGACCAATAGACTCATACAGAGACCAATAGACTCTCACAGAGATCCGTAAACTCACACAGAGATCCATAGACTCACACAGAGACCCATAGACTCACACAGAGACTCATAGACTCACACAGAGACCCGTAGACTCACAAAGAGACCCGTAGACTCACACAGAGACCCGTAGACTCACACAGAGACCCATAGACTCACGTAGAGACCCATAGACTCACATAGAGACCCATAGACTCACACAGAGACCCATAGACTCACATAGAGACCCATAGACTCACATAGAGACCCATAGACTCACACAGAGACCCGTAGACTCACACAGAGACCCATAGACTCACATAGAGACCCATAGACTCACATAGAGACCCATAGACTCACATAGAGACCCATAGACTCACACAGAGACCCGTAGACTCACACAGAGACCCATAGACTCACGTAGAGACCCATAGACTCACACAGAGACTCATAGACTCACACAGAGACCCTCAGACTTATACAGAGACCCGTAGACTCACATAGATACTCATAGACTCACACAGAGACCCATAGACTCACACAGAGACCCATAGACTCACACAGGGACCCATAGACTAACACAGAGACTCATAGACTCACACAGAGACCCATAGACTCACACAGAGACCCATAGACTCACACAGAGACTCATAGACTCATACAGAGACCCGTAAACTCACACAGAGACCCATAGACTCACACAGAGACCCGTAAACTCACACAGAGACCCGTAAACTCGCACAGAGACCCATAGACTCACACAGAGACCCGTAAACTCACACAAAGATCCATAGACTCACACAGAGACTCATAGACTCACACAGAGACCCATAGACTCACACAGAGACCCATAGACTCACACAGAGACCCATAGACTCACACGAAGATCCAAAGACTCACACAGAGACCCATAGACTCACACAGAGACCCGTAGACTCACACAGAGACCCACAGACTGACACCCGGCGAGGCCGGTACCTGGTGCTCCTTGGTGAAGTGGCAGAGGGCGCCGAACGACGACACCTTGAGGCACCTGGGGACACGGCGCAAGTGGGGAGGGTGGAGAGAGCGTCAGCCGGGCCGCCGCCGCCACCGCACGGCACCGCCCGCGATGGGCCCTGGCCACTGATCCACTGCTGGATGGCGTCGTCCCGGTGCCTCCGTCTGTGCATAGAACTCCGTGCGGCCTCGAGAAGACAAAAGAACGACGAGTGGATATACGGCAGGCGACGTTCCGATGCCGCGTCGTACTTCGTGGCGCATCACCCTCGCTGGAGAGCGCTTCGCCTCGGAGGGCCTCATCTGGCTGTCGAGAGAGTTCACCCGACGGGCTGCACGCGCGGTTCACGTTTAGACGTTTAAACTCCTCTCCCTCTCTCTCCCTCTCTCCCTCTCTCCCTCTCTCCCTCTCTCTCTCTCTCCCTCTCTCTCCCTCTCTCTCCCTCTCTCCCTCTCTCTCTCTCTCTCCCTCTCTCCCTCTCTCCCTCTCTCCCTCTCTCTCTCCCTCTCTCTCTCGGTGCTCTGGATTCCTCCCACAGCCAACAATGCTCGGCAAGGAAACGATCCAGAATCCCGAAGTAGCTGCCCTCCTGCGTGAGACCTTCCTCGGTACAGAAAGTACAGGGTGCTTCAAATAAATGTGAACACTTCCGAGAATTTGCAACGACACCACGAGAAATGTGCCGCCTCTGTGCTCTGGAGGCCACCTGGAGAAGACTCCAGGCAATGCGTTGACAATGAAGTGGAGACTCTTAGACTTTTAGAAGCTACTAACATTACATTTGTTATCACGTGACAGTGTCTTATCCATTCTTTTTCCATTAAAAACGATAGTCCCATATAAGTGTTAAATTTTTTTTAAGCACCCTGTACAACATCATCATTATTATTCGTGTTATTGTATAAATCGGCGCCTGTAAGGGGGGAGTGGGTCAGGGTCTGAGTTGCCGCACGGCCCACACGGCTGCTCTCTGTCCAGGTGGATCAAGCTTCTAGTGGTGTGAGCTGCGCCACTCAAGGTCGCAGCTGTACGAGACGTCCCACCAGAATCAGAATTCTTTATTAATCCTGGAGAAATCCGAAGAGCTGTGAAGCTCCCTTTCACAGATGTCCAGTAGCAGTGGCACGGGGGGGGGGGGTCAGAAAGTTGCAAGGACAAAACGAAATGCGAAAAAACACGACCGGAGTGTGAAGTGTAGGAAAGGTAATCAAATCGCAATTTTTTATTTTAACGCAAAATAGATCAAGGAAATGAGTTCAAATTGCCAAGCTTGGCCAAGGCAGCCAAAACGACAGCAGCAAGGACAGTCCCAGAGCACACCAAGCCGCCGACGCCGCCGCACAGCCCCCCCCCCCCCCGTGAACACCGCGCACCGTCAGCAGGCTACCCCTGGGGGACATCCCCGAGGCACCCCCCCCCCCCCCCGTTCTGGCCTCTTCCAAACCCTCGTCCTCCCAGAACTTCTAGAACCTTTTAGAACCTTGTCTCGACCACTGCAACGGTAACCACAACCCCCGCCTGCTCCCGTCTGAATCCTCTAGCCAATCCAACGCTCGTTTCCAGTTGGATTGGCTAGAGGATTCATCGATCATGGACATATGTGTTGTGTTGTAAATGAGGCAGGTCTTCAGGTAAGGGCTTGCGCCGGTGTATTAACAAGGAAAGTGGTAAGTAAACAGCAGGGGTAGGTGTCCTACACGCGGTCCTTCCCGTGGACCCGTGGCTCTCTCTACTGCTAGCCTGCTGGCTGTCTCTTCGCTTTCGTCACGGGGCCCCCCTTAAGTACCCCCAGGTTACATGACGTCATCGCACCTCACAGCGCATATGACATCACGTCCCCATACTACTCCTCTACGTATGTACCGTTACGCTGAACGTAGCCGACCGCGCTGATCGCAGGTGCGGTGATGACGACGACGACGACGACTGTAAGAGAAAGTTACCTTGGAGGTCGGCCGTCAACTGTGCAACGATTTGTGAGGGTGGGGGTGGTGGGGGAGCGATCAGCGTAATCATGGGGGTGAGGCCAGGCGAGGGCTCGCGAACCTCTTCCCCCCGAGCCAGTAGAGGACGAGGTCCAGGTCGTGGCAGGACTTGGCGAGGAGCGAGAAGGAGCTCTCGTCCTCCCTCCTCCAGTTGCCGCGCACAAACGAGTGAGCAAAGTGGAAGTGGCCGACCTGCGCGCGGGCACAGGCGGGCACAGGCAGGCACAGGCGGGCACAGGCGGGCGCAAAGTATGGGAAAGGTAAACTAATCACTTCAAAATATCCGATTTCAATAAAAAAAAAGATTTTACCAGGTGAGGGGCCGTCCATAAATGACGTCACGCGATTTTGGACGATTTTTGACCCCCCCCCCCTCGTCACACGGCGTCACAAAAAGTCAGACCCCCCCTGAAATATGACGTCGCAAAGCTCTGCCCCCCCCCCAAAACCATATTTCCATTTTTAAAATAAAACATGCTTCAAATCGCTTTAAACTATTGTCATTGTAGTGCGTATTTAATGTGGCGCTGCACTCTGATGTTGTAGGAGAAAACATTTATTAGAAAGTCTATTTAATTAAGTTGAACGTGTTGTCTATATTTATTTAAAGTTGCGCATTTTGATGTGACGTCACATTTCTCAACCCCCCCCCCTCATCACACATCGTCACAAATGTCTGACCCCCCCCCCCCAACCAGGTGCGTGACGTCATTTATGGACGGCCCCTAAGGCTCCTGGCGACAAGTGATAGCTCAACGAAGTGGCGTATCATCACGTGGACATTCATAGCAGCAGCCAACTACTCAAAGCAATCGAGACGATCTCAACGGATGTTTCTAAACGTGGAGGGAAAATCCGGAGAACCCGGCAGAAAAAAATCCACGCGACCACGGAGAGATAAACAAGCAAACTCCAAATATACAGCAGGAGGCACGTGTAGCGGCACGTGTGGCGGCACGTGTGGCGGCACGTGTGGCGGCACGTGTAGCGGCACGTGTAGTGGCTTGTGTGGTGGCACGGGTAGTGGCACGTGTCGTGGCACGTGTGGTGGCACGTGTATTGGCACGGGTAGTGGCACGTGTGGCGGCACGTGTGATGGCACGTGTAGTGGCACGTGTAGTGACACGTGTAGTGGCACGTGTAGCGGCAGGTGTAGTGGCACGTGTAGTGGCACGTGTGGTGGCACGGGTAGTGGCAGGTGTAGTGGCACATGTAGTGGCACGTGTGGTGGCACGGGTAGTGGCAGGTGTAGTGGCACGTGTAGTGGCACGTGTAGTGGCACGTGCAGCGGCACGTGTAGCGGCAGGTGTAGTGGCACGTGTAGTGGCACGTGTGGTGGCACGGGTAGTGGCAGGTGTAGTGGCACATGTAGTGGCACGTGTGGCGGCACGTGTAGTGGCAGGTGTAGCGGAGCGACGTCTCTGTGGCTGGCGCCGCACTCACGGGCTCCAGGTGCTGAATGTGCACCACGTCGCCTATGACTCCTTTATCCAACAACTCCTGCACACGGTGACACACGGTGACACACGGTGACACATGGTGACACACCGACACACGGTGACACACCGACACACAGTGACACACGGACTACGCGCGTGCACTCAGTCAGCGTCCCGCACTTCCAATTAACACGTACAGTGTCGGCAGTGACACGTCCCTGTAACCAGACAGCCAAAGGCCAGGAGTCCTGACCCTGTACTCCTCTATTACTGCGTAGATTCACTCCTGCAGCCCCCTTGTCAATCCACTGCTGGATGAGGGCTGCCCTAAGCAGCCCCGCGGGTCGTAGGCGGTCATTTGACCATACTTCACCACTCCCGTCGGTGCTGGCAGGTGAAGGGAGTGGAGGCAAGGGGGGGGGGGTGACTGTCGACAGATGAATTGTGAACACGCCGCTGGCTGGGCGCTGAACCTGGGGATCGTCAACGGAGATCCAGTCGAGTGGCGCTGCAGTTGCAGCTGCGGTGACAAGCGCGGGGGGGGGGGTCAAAAGTTCAAAGCCAGGCCAGGGGTTGGCTCGGCGGGTCACGCTTACGAGGCGTCATCCTGCACGCAGGAGGTGGTGTCTCGACGGCCAAAGGACCGATTGTGACCGTAGGATAGGCCCCTTCACGCCTCGCATGTCACGCGACATCACCGTACTTGTGGCGTGCCAAGACGTGGTTGTCCCTGTGAGGAGACTGGGCCCCGCCATGGCAATGTATAACTTCCACCGCTGGGTCAGCGCTGCCAGTGGTGACTCGACTTTGCGAGCTCAGTATGAATCCTGCGTAAGTCCACGCCGTTCGCCTGGCCGTCTCAAGCAATTCAAACAGCAATGTGCGCGTGTCTTTGCTTCTTTGATTTAGCAGCTGTAATGAGGCGCTTGCAACATTACAGCGATTGGGCACCACGTTGAAAAGGCAAAAAGTAACCTACTAAAAGGCACGCTCCAGCCTCACTTTGTAGCGGGAATTGGATGGATATCGGAATAACGGGAGACCAGTCCAGTCATTCGATGACCCGAAACACGCTGACGATGCAGAAATTTTTATTCTCAGAATATGTATTTACTAGCCTTTAGCCCGTCCAAGGACGGGTGTGTTGCAGTAAATCTGAAACTTGCAAGCGAAAAGCAGAGGACGACGTGATAGTCATTGCATCGATTCGTGTGCAATTTGTAAGGGCGCGGTGACACAGACTTATTTTATTTAAAGGTTATAATCCCTTGTTCATCATGACGTCCTTTTTACTTATATCACGTGACGTGAGGGTTCTGCCTTTGTAGTGAGGGTTGTGAGTTGACGTTGAGGAGGGGGGAGGAGGCGCCTCGCCCCCAATGTGGAGTGACGTCAGCCACTAATTATTATGAATGGGGGGGGGGGGGGTGTCCATTTGGAGGACGTCACCTTATAATGATTATATTAATGAGGGGGCTGTTCGATGTGGAGTGACGTCACCTGCTCATGATTATTAATGAGGGGGGAGGATGCTCCATGTGGAGTGATGTCACCTGCTCATGAATATTAATGAGGGGGGCTGGTCGATGTGGAGTGACGTCACGAGCGTTGAGGACAGACTTTTCTGGGTGATTAGAGTCGGTATGCTGGAGGAATCCGACGAGCTATCAAGCTCTTTTTCGCAGATGTCCAGTGTGCAGAGCCCCGCTCGTGTACCCACGCAAAGGACGACCCCAGGGTGCACTCCACCAGTTCCACGACGTCGCGTGCACCGTTGGAACTCAACTATAAACTAAAACACAATTTTTGCTTCACTAGGTAAGGCCCCACTGAGCTACGTAACTCTGTTCCAGAAGCGACCTGGCCACCACAAGTTATCGTGACTCATCACGTGGAAATTTATAGCAGCCACATATTGAAAAAGCACGTTGATTCTCAATGTGAAGGGAAAAAAACAGAGAACCTGGTGCAAAATCCAAGCGACCACGGGGAGAACACGCAAACCTAAAATATACAGCAGGCGTCAGGGTCGGGATTGAACCCACGACCTCCTGTATACCAGGCGAGGGAGATAACATCTCGCTACCGTGGCAGAAGACAAAGGTGCAGGGCTTGGGAATTGGTCCCCCTGAACCCAAAACCACTGCTACCGTTGGTGCCGACACCGCCGAGGGTGTCCTGGACTTTCTACACCTCGGTGGCAAGCTGCTGCAAGTCTGGCATCCTCCACGGGATCGATCTGGCCACGTCCGTTATCCACTCTTCACGCAGCATGCAGTCTCAACGTCGTCTCAGCACACCGACCAAGATCCGAGTCGACGACACTTGTGTGATGCCAGTTGTGCCGTTATGGCGCCGAGCCGTGGACTCCCCCGCAGTCAAGACCCAAACTGGCTGCGGGACTTCCTCACGCGGTGTCGGAGCCAGCTCCTTGGCATCGGACGGTTCGACATTGAAGTCTCGTCGAGGGACCGATGTTCCGTCGCCCGGCTGAGTCGTATCCGTTGGTCTGGCCGCCTTGCGAGGACGCGGGGCAACTCTCCCGCACACCGCGTCCCGCTTGTGCCCACGCGGGCGGAGTGCGCCGATCTCCACCGTGGCGCTGTGCGGTCGGGCCTTCCCGAGGGGACTCGTGGCTTCGTCAAGTTCCGTCGCGACGCCGGCCTAGCCTTGCGGGAAGCCTCCTATGACGCGGTGGAACGCGGTTGGCCCACTGGGCCTCCGTCGCCTACGCGTTTCCAACGACGACGACAATGATGATGATCGTACCATGGAATTCCAAAGTCGATAATGCAAAATGTCAGTTGCTCTGTAAGGTCACACAGTTAATGAGCTGAGAGCCTCTCCTGTCAATAAATGAAAACCCCCCCGCCCCCCATCAATTGGATTATTGCCTCTCGTACGATCGATCGTGTTTTGCAGCCGGCACCATGGCCGCTTCTCCTCGTCCAGCAGTGAGGCAGCCGTCAGAGGCGCGTTCCGCTCTAATCCACGACTCTCAGGCCACGTCGAACCTCGATCACCAATTCACTCGGACGCCGTGCGGTCTCAGAAGCTCAGCAGGTGTCGAGCCTGGACGGCGCCTTGGACGGGTGACCGCCGTGCACAGACACTTGCTGCTGGAGGCTGTGGCTCTATGCGGTGGGCAGCAGAGGTGTAGGAATGTTGTCTGTACTTCTATGCTCCCCACAATGTCGCACGTGCCGATGTCGGCGATGTATGGCCATGAACAGAACACCGTCACGGCCGCAGCGGCGTAGGAAGGCCCTCGTCCGGCAGGGGATGTTGGAATGGCCGTAGTTTGGCGTGGGGCCCGTCCGTCGCAGCACAGTGCGCACACAGCAGGTCGTGACGGCACGCCAGGCGTGACCCCAGGCTTTACGAGGCAAAGGATCCCGTGGTTCGTGCAGATTTGTCAAAAAACTCCCCCACAACAAGCTGGGCTGTGAGGTGGCCAGGAGAAATGGCAGCGCAGGGGGTGGGTTTGTGAACCCGTGGGGGGGGGGGGGGGGTGATACGTGCCCCCCCAATGATCCGATCGAAATCCCTAATTTCCAGCATATGATTACGTGCCAGGGACTCTATGTGATGATAGGACAATAGTTTGAGTCCATAATTGGAAATAAGTAACGGCAAAGCAGTTATAAATAACTCACAGAATTGTGCGCAGTTGCGTATACAGGACACGACTTCCCTGAAGGCATTCACCTTCAGCGAGCGCGATGCCGATCACACAACGCGGTTCGAATTCAACCCTCGATCGATGGCTGCGCCATCGTCGCACACGCGTCGAATAAAAAGCGAGGGACAAGTCCTTACTTACTAACATTGCTGGAGGGGTTGCCCTCCCTACCTGAAGCTCCTGGCTCCGCCATTGCGTGCGGACATATGAGTACCGTCCGCTCGCCTGCGTGGATTGTTTCTGGGTAACTCCGTTACCGCCCGGATGGAAGACAAAAAAAATTGGCCAAACATCGCGATGCAGGGCCCTCCCGAAAAAGAGCCTTCTGACTTGGCGAGGCTCTCCTGCGTCAGATTTCTATTCTTGCGAAAGGTGGCGGCAGTATGCTCAGGAGCGAAACGCCAATGTCGAGGTCTGAGCGCCACGAGAAGGCTTCGGGAGAGAATTTGTGTGAGTTTTGCTATTCCCCCCCCCCCCCCCCCCCCCATTGAACGAGCGCAGACTTCGTAAGTAATGAAACGAATACGTTACAAGGCCGCACTCAATACACACAAAGTGCTTGCCGTAAATGAACCACAATACCTTGCTGATCTGGTCAAGGGGCATAGACCATCACGCAAACTCCGGTCATCATTGCAGCAGCAGCGGATTTTGGCTGTCCGTTGAAAACGGTGGTCACCGCATCACACGCCGCTTTCAGATGCGCTTCTACGGCCGTCTGGAACGCTCTGCCGATGTTAGGAAGCCACTGGAGCTGTGCAATTTTAAATGCAGATTGAAAACCCGTTTCTTTAGAACTGATCTTTTGTGTTGAATTTCTTGTCCTTCCCCCGCACCTCCGATGAGCACGGCCGGCTACGTACGGTGCGAAGGAAGTCCAGCGTGCATCACCACACGTGCATCACCACACGTGCATCACCACACGTGCATCACCACACGTGCGTCACCACACGTGCGTCACCACACGTGCGTCACCACACGTGCGTCACCACACGTGCGTCACCACACGTGCGTCACCACACGTGCGTTACCACACGTGCGTTACCACACGTGCATTACCACACGTGCATTACCACACGTGCGTCACCACACGTGCATCACCACACGTGCGTCACCACACGTGCGTCACCACACGTGCGTCACCACACGTGCGTCACCACACGTGCGTCACCACACGTGAATTACCACACGTGCATCACCACACGTGCATCACCACACGTGCATCACCACACGTGCGTACTCTCCCCGCGAGCGCAGTTCGCTGAGGAGCACCGAGCCCTACGGGCAGGCCTCCTCCTCCTGCTGCTCGTGCCAGTGAGCGGTCACCGTGAAGGGGACGCGACGCGGCCAAGGGGCTGACGTTCAGGACGCGACGTTTGCCAACCGATTGCCACCTGCGACGGACCCTGAGCGCCGCATGGCGACAAACGTACCGTGTGGATTCATTCGATGCTGTGCTCGAAACGAGGCACTGTGCAAGGCTGCCAAAAGGATCGTGGGATTCGCAAATCTGGTCACGCTTTGCGCAGTGCCCTGCCAAAGTCAGGTCAATGTCAACGCAGTGCGGCGGCATCTGCGCCCGGGGGTGCCGCGCGTCTCTGTTTGCGGTGGCTGCGGAGCCACGGTGGACATTCCACTTTTTGTGCGGCGTGGGCCAGTCTCTCCGTGGAGAGAAAGAAACAAAAGCCATGGCTCACTTCCAAAGAAGTGCGACTCGTGCGATTCGTGAGGAGATTGTTCCGCTCTGAGTGGCAGTTTTTGACTGCTGGCAATTTGCTAAATTCTTGTTTGTCAGTGAAAGCAGTGGCCAATGCATCATCATTCATCAGCATCAGCCAGGATCAATCCACTGCTCGATGAATGCCTCCCCAAGCTGTCGGCTAATTTGTAACTATTGATTATAAATTATCTGAACGGCACCACCCCGCCCCACACACCCACGCGCATGTACACACAGCAACAACAGCCACCATTCGCATATAAGTGGCGGTGTGGCATCACCACAGCGCTTGTGCCAGGCTAGGTGCACTTTGAGGCAGCGTGAAGTGCGGAAGGCCCGTTGAGGTCACAGGACAGACCCAGGAGTGATGAGGTGACTGACTGAGATGCAAGACAAAGACACAAACACATGCACTAAAAGACAGCCTGAACAGGCTGTTGGGGCAAGTGCTGTTAGCGAGCACCTATGGAAGCCGGCACGGCACACGAGGGGGTGGGGGTCCAGCACCACGTCCGGCCACCTTTGTCTCCCCAGTGGCGATATTGACACACCTGCACCAGGTACTAATTTAAGGCTGAGTCGACCTAGGGGAGGCTAAGGAACCGATTGTGAAAAATTGTCGCTGGGTTTTGGCCGTGAACAGGATGTCAACTCGGGCTGCGGGGATTTGTAGCGCATCGCGCTAGGCGTGACGCCACCGCTACACACGCCACACGCGCACACAGACAGACACTCGCACGCACGCAGACGCACGCCGGCGGTGGCAGCAGCGGCGGCGGCGGCTCACCTTGACTTTCTGCACGGGAGGGTAGTAGCGCAGCACGTGGCACACGGAGAGCATGACGTCCGCGCGCCGGCACGCCGCCACGATCGCCTCGCAGTCACCCTCGCTCACCTGCCGCACGGGGACACACGCACGGCGCTCGCTCCACGCGGACAATGCTGCTGCTGCTGCTGGTGATGTGGGGAGCGGTAGTGTAGTGGTTAGCACTGCGCTATGAAACCGGCGACCCGAGTTCGATTTCCGCTCACGGCCAACACCGGTGGCAATTATCTGATCGACTCAGCCTCAAATTAGTACTCGGTGCGATGTGTAAACATCGCCACTGGGGAGACAAATGCGGCCGGGCGTGATGCTGGCGACCCACCATCTCGTGTGCCGTGCCGGCTTTCATAGGTGCTCGCTAACAGCACTTGCCTCAACAGTCTGTTAAGGCTACACGGGGGATCTTTGTCTTTGATGATGATGCCTGATCCTCACAGCAGTGGCGTTTGGCGAGTCATTGAACAAAGTCGGTCACCGCATCGCGCGCTTTCAGACGCACTTCTGCGGCCGTCTGGAACGCTCTCCCTATTAGGAACCCACTAGAGCTGTGCACTTTTAAATCATCTCGAGATGAAACTCATTTATTTAGAACTGCCGTTTGTGTTTAGTTTGTTGTCCTTTCCCCGCACTTCCGATTCGCGCGGTTGGCTATGTACGGTGCGAAAGAAGTTCAATGTACATACACACAGAACTGCGCGGTCGTTTCCTTCCTTATGCCGGATCAGGCAGCTGTTTCGAACTCGACATCCCGACCCCCCAAAGTTTGCTCTTTGGCGATCAAATCCCAGCAGCGCCTAGCACAGGGTGCCAACCAACCTCTGTGTAGCCTTAACAGACTGTTGGGGCATTCCCGTCTGTCACTGCAAGAGCCTTTAGCCGCGTGACAGAAGCGACGGAACAGCGCATGGATGTGTGCGTGTGCGTGCGTGCGTGCGTGCGTAGATGCGAGTGTGGATGTATGCGTGCGTGCGTGGATGTGTGTGTACGTGGATGTGGGCGTGCGTGCGTGCGTAGTCGCCCGTCGAATGTATTTTGCTTGTCGTGTGCAGCCCTCGCCAGGGGGTCTCCGTGCCCCTGGCCTCCCCGCGTCCTCTCACCGCCATGGGCTTCTCCAGCAGCACGTGGTAGCCCTTGGCTGCGAAGGCGACGGCCGGGTCCTGATGGCGTGGAGGAGACAGAAGCTTCGTAAAACATTCCACATCTGAATGACCGCCGTCCGTTCACTGGCCCACGAAGTGGCACTCGCTTCATCGACCGCGGCGGTGCGGTGAGAGGTTCATCGTCTCCCCGACCCGAGATTCCGGTTCGGAACGCCTCCGTCGCCGAGTGGAGATTGCGGTGCACGACCAGCGGGCCGCCATCCCTCGCGACGCTCGGCCCGAGGCCGCTTCACCACGCGACTCGATGCGACCCGACATGGGAGTTAGAAAGCATCTCGACGAGACCGCTGCACGAGAGCGGGGGGGGGGGGGGCATGAGAGCGGAGTGGTAATGGCTGGTGGTCGTGGTGGTGGAGTGGGAGTGAGTGGTAGTGTTAGTGGTAGTGGTGGCGGTGGTGCTGGTGGTGGTGCATCAGCCAGTCATCTCAGTCACTCAACCCATGGCACCCGGGTCTGTCCCGTGACCTGCCAGCAGGCATTCGACCCTTCAATGGCGGCTGTCGGTGTTGTTGGTGCTGGTGGAAAGGATGTTTGGCGAGAGGGCTGGTGAAGAGCGGCGGTGACGGACAGGGGGAGAGGAAGGACTCGCGCCGAGAGGGAGTCGGCGGTGACGGACCACAACGGGAAGGGCCCTGCAGCAGCTCGCGGCTGCACGAGAGAGGGAATATAAAAGTGCCGTTAAGTCCGCCACGACGCGACACGGCCACTTAGCAAGGTTTGTCACGCGAACAAAACGTGCCAATTAGTCGTGGGTAGAGCACGCACCGGTGTGCTGGAGAGTAAACCCACAACGTTAACACTCCAGCGGACCGGGGTGCTGAACTAGTAACTAACTGACATAATTGGCACGTTTTGTTTACGTGACAAAGCTGACCGATTGGCTGCGTCGGGTGGTGGCGGCGGGTTTAACGACACATTTATATTGACGCGATCGAACCCAAAAAAACCCTCTATTATGGATAATATCGGGCGTGAAAGCCAAGTACTACTCCTACTACTCCGCGTCAAACGGGAGAGGGAGCGAGCGTCCACTGAGCGATTGTTGGCTGAGAATTCCCCAACTTCAGAAGCCGAGTTTTTGCTGGAGCTGAGGGCAGAGGAAGGGGAGCAGAGCAAGACGGGGGGGGGGGAGGTGGTGGGCGGGGGGGAGACGCGGGGCAGCGGCGAGCCCACGGTGGAAAGTGACCACGGGGCGGTTGATGAAGGGAACTGGGGGTTGGTGGTGAGTTTGGTTGACTTTGCGGGCACAACATTTGGTTGCCGGGTGCTTTGGAGCAGCCAAAAATTCCACGGCGGTGGACTTGGGCAGGGTAAAGACTGTACGTCACGTGCTCCGACATCAGGAAAACGCAACCGCAGTCGAGAAGCGCTCAAGGAAGCGTGGAGGTGCACGCTCGGAATGGCACTGCGAGCGACAGAAAAGCACGCGGATTAAAAGTCGACTGAACTATTTTTATTTGACCAGGTGAGGCCCACTGAGCTACATAGATGTTCTTCTAGAAGCGACCTGGCAATCACAAATGATAGCTCAACGAAGTATGTAAATTTATGGCAGCCAAACGCACTAAACGCGTGATGTTGAATCTAAATGTGGAGGGAAAAACCCGAAGCAAAAGCCACGTGACCACGGAAAGAGAAAGACACACAAACTCCAAATATACAGCAGCAGGCGTCAGGGTCGGGATCTAACTCACAACTGCCTGTACACCAGGCGAGGTAGTTAACATCTCGCCACCTGAGATCAGAGCACACACGGCAGCTGGGGACATCACATTGACCGTTAACAGTGGCCTTGGGCAGGACATGCCACGGGACTGGACCACGGTCAGTGGTGGAGACTGATGGGAGAGTGTGCCAGCATGGAGAGATGTTAACTACCTCACCTCATATACAGGAGGTCGTGGGTTTAATCCCGACCCTGACTGTCGCTGACACCTGTATATGTGGAGTTTGCATTCCTCGCTTTCTCTCCGTAGTCACGTGGACTTTCTCCAGGTCTTCCGGGTTTTCCCTCCACAGTTAGAGTCAACACCACGTGCTTAGAGTATTTGGCTGCTTTACATTTCCACGTGATAAGCCACTTCGTTGAGCTCTCGTTTGTGGCCAGGTCGTTTATGAAAAGAGCTGTATAGCACAGTGGGGCCTTACCCGGTAAAATTAAACGTAGTTTATAGTTTAGTTTTTAGAGTGGCAGCCAGAGGAAGGAATGCGCCGTAAGGTGGTACGTCAACCACAGAGATGGAGCGATAAAATCAGCGTACGCAGGAGCTGGACGGATCGTTGCACCCGAAGGACGGTGAACGATGGCAACGGCTTGGGGGGGAGGGTGGAAGGGGGTGGGGGGAGAGGGGGGAGTTGGGGGAGGGTGGGGGAGGGAGATGGAGGTCTTCATCCAGCAGCGGAGAGACCATGGCCGACCACGACGTTCGATCGAGAACGGAGTGTTGCCGCACAGTCGAGGCGAGCTGTGACGACGGCACGGAGCTGCAGCGGCAGCAGCGGAAGAGTCGCGGAGGAGGAGGAGCAGGTGGTGCACGGGCGAAGCCGGCGCTGCGCGAGAGGGACAGCCAAGGGGAAGGAAGCGAGCCCTGCCGGAGCTGTCGACAGAGGGCAGCGCCCCCCCCGCCCCCCCTCTCACCTTGTGCAGGCGATCCGGCGTGCAGATGAAAACGGCGTCGGCAAATCTCTTCAGCTCCGCCGCCTCCCTCCAGTCTGCAGCGCCCACACCGACCGCGGCGCGTCAACGTCAGGCGGTCGTCACGGCAAAGAGCTTCATAGCTCACCGGATTCCTCCCGTGTGAAATACAGATTCCGATTCCTTCCCTCTGCTAGATCCCACGGCTGGTGCGAAGTCGACCCCCGAACCTCCGAGGTCGAGCTCGTACCGTAACCGCTCCGTCCCGCCGTTAGGGGCTCCTCCTGCTGCTGCCTGGTCAGCGACCTCTGGGGGTGACCCCGGTGCCCATGTCGGTACCCTGACCTCCGCCATCCTGGACACGAGTCCCACCCACTGCGACCTCCCGCTGCTGCTGCTTATGGTTACAACGCTGCCAACGACCAATCAAAACGAGACGATGATCGTGACGACGATGACGATGATTGTTGTCATTATCGCGGTTGCTTCTGCTGCAATGATGATGATGCGGAAGAGGTGATGTTTCCAGGACTATGAAATATTATGGGACATTTAACCCTTTCCCATTCTTATGACGTAGACGTGCGTGCACAAGTACGTCATTAGAACAAAAAATAAAATAACTTTATCTGTATGGAGGTTCCCGCAAGGCCACGCGGGAGGGCGTGCGGCACAGTTTGGCGCCAGCTATCGTAGAGTGCGGTGGTCGTGTCGCTACGGTTCTCTGCGGTGAGTCACGGTGTCTTTAAAAACAGCGGCGCTGCTTACGCCTCTCGAAATAAAATGAACGACGAGCCGATTGCGCCGTTCCGAGATTCGGCGGTGAACGGGGCACCCACCACCCTGCAACTTACAGACGTCTCGGAATGGGAATAGGTTAATAATTATCTGTGGCACAATATCTGAGTTCGAACTCCGGTCATCCTCATGGCGGCTTTTGGCTAACCATCGAAAAAAACAGACGGTCACTGCATCGCGCGCTCTCAGGTGCTCTACTGAAGCCGTCTGGAACGCTCTTCCGTCCGATGTTAGGAAGCCACTGGAAGCTATGCACTTTGAAACCATCTAGATTGAAAACTCATTTCTTTAAAACTGCTCTATGTTTAGTTTGTTGTCCTTCCCCCGCACCTCCGATTGGCACGGTTGGCTACGTACGGTGCGAAAGAAGTTCAACATGCGTACATACTGTACTTCAAATACTCGTTACACACGGCATCACCGCTGCGTCACGACGCGTCTCTAGAACGGGGACGCAAGAGTCGTGGCTCGAGCACGCGCTCAATGTCGCGTGACGTGAACCCGACGGGATTCGAAAATGTGTTGACAGCTCCGACGTAAATCCACTGCTGGCCGTGTCGGTCGTGGGCGTTGTTCGACCATACTTCACCCCGCTGGTCAGTGCGTTTCGACAAAGAAGAGAGCGCGAGGACCGCTTCAGGCATCATTCGCTACCGACGACGTGAGCCGTGGCTGGGAATTGAACTCTGGCGGCCGCGTTTTATGGCAGCCGTCCATTGTTTTTGTTCATCTCCTCTCGCTCTTGTGGGAAAACGAGAGGGTGACCTCTCCCGCGAAACGAATCCCCACGGAGACGCGGAGACATCTGGCTCGGCCGCTCGCCCGCGGTGAACGCGTTCGCGAGGAGGCGAGCGACGTGAGCGCTCGTGTATAACGCGGTGAACGCGTTCACAAGCGAGTGACGCGAGCGCTCGTGTCTAACGCGGTGAACGCGTTCACAAGCGAGCGACGCGAGCGACGCGAGCGCTCGTGTCGAACGCACCCACGAGGCAGCAAATAACAGCGAGATAGAGGAGGCGCTGGTTTTCATTTTTATCATCAGCGGAGGCAAATCTCTCCGGCTTGGAAGCGGAGCGAGACGAGAGGGGGCGGCCTCGTGGGGATGACGACGACCTTATGACGGCACCAACGCAGGGATTGTGGGTAAATTAATTCTCATGGATTTAGAGCAAACGGGGGGACGGTGGGGAGGGGGACACGGAGATTGATGCTGAACCGTGCCAATCCCCACGTGCCATCTCGAATCACTCAAAGTGCCTCTCGGGGGGACAATGGTTTGTGTATTAATCCGGTAAAGCGTTCTCCAGCGGGGTTCACCTCGCACAGCGCTTCTCTCTCCGCTAACGTTCCACCGCCACCACCGCCACCACCGCCACCACCGCCACCACCGCCACCAACACCGCCACCACCGCCACCACCGCCACCACCACCGCCACCACCGCCACCACCACCGCCCCCATTACCGTGCCGAAGAAGCGGCCCCTTTTGCAGGAGACGCACCGCTGTTGTTGATATTGTTGATGTTGTTGATGTTGTTGATGTTGTTGATGTTGTTGATGTTGTTGATGTTGTTGATGGTTAATTACCGGTTCACGAAGCCGTCTTTGCCAGGCAAAAGTTTTCAGTAAATATAATAATTAACCTGTGATTTTTTTTGTTACAATTTTTTTTAAATCTACGATCAGACACCAACAGCTCACTCAATTAAAAAATTTCGTTCTTTTTTATATTAGAAAGAACAAAAAATAATGAACTTAATACTCTATGAGAGGAAGCTCTGCTATCTTTGACCGTTTTCTTGTTATATTCCGATTTGAACATCATAAAACGCGGATTTTTTTCGTTCAAAACCGCTTTAATGGGTTTCACTTTCCTTTTATTTGCTGCTGAATGTGCTGGCAAATGAAAAAAACCGCAATCTTATCTTTTGAACGGTACCTGAATGACACCACGCACAAACATGTTTACCGGGCACTTAACATCGAGATTTGGGAGCCTTACAATGAAATATCTCAGATTTTAAGTTCTGTCCTATTGTTTGTCTCCTAAAAGCTACCTGTCTACCAAATGTCAGCCTTCTACCTTGTCGGCAAGTACATATACACATATTAAGGTCTTTATTTATAGAGTAGATATATTCCTACAACTCACCATCGCCGCAGCTCCCGCAGCCAGCGCCTGCTGCCACCCCCACGTATTACGGTGCGAAAGAAGTTCAACGTACGTGCACACAGCACCCTGTACTCAAACCCGTCAACCCCTTGTCAGTGCCCTACCTTATTACAGACCATTTCAGACCTTATTGGTCACCCCGTGCCCCCCTTATAAATATCAACTTTCATCACAAGGGAGAAACACAAACAAATAGGCAAAACTAAACGTGTCGCCCGTATTGAAACGGCTGTACGCCGTATAGACCCGGAAACTCAATTCCCCTGCACAAGAAGACGGAGTAGACCGTGTGGGTTGACCGCCGTGTGGGTTGACCGCCGTGTGCACTGCACGGGTCAGGCTTCCCTCGATCCCTGCGGGTTCGTTTTGTGCGACTTCGCGTTGCGAGGGTAGGTGCCGTGGCTCGCCGGGAGAAGGCAGGACAGCATAAATGTTGACTCCGCCTGTTTGGTCCGCACGGGATACAGCGTTGCCCCCTCGCGCGCTTGGGGGGAGAGGGGTTCTTTTCGGATTCCCCCCCCTCCACATTTAGAGTCGACGAGCGTTGAGAGTATCTGGCCGCTGTACATTCCCACGTGACGATAAGCCCACTTCGTAGGAGCCATCATTGGTGGCGGCCGGGTCGCTTCTGAGAAAAAGAACTACGTCGCTCGGAGGGGCCGTACATGGTAAAATAACAATCGTGCAAAACAAAGTTTAGTTTAGATTTCGGATTTGGCCCGTGACTGTTTGCTGCACCCTTTGCGCACGAGGCCTCGGAGGTCTTTACCGTCAACATCACAGCAGACCGCGCGCTTCGGTCATCCCTCGTGGCCGTGGTAGGAAGCGAAACTCTCCCCCCATGCCTCCTTCACCTCTGCAGAGCGCACCGTGCGCTTGCGCCGGTTTCAATAACCGAGGCTCAAAGCTACTCGGAGTCGGTGCCGGATTATCGTAGAAGCAAAAGTAGCTACATATGTCGTAGTAGCTACGGGCCCCGCACTTTCAAGGGCCCCACGCTAAATGCTTTCAAGCTATCAATTCCGGTTCAGTGATTCTGCACTTGCTCTATTACTATAGTACTATACCACCTCCAACTTTTATGAACGACTGGGTGATTAAGGTTAGCGATTTGTCGTATTATCTGGCTGTATAGCAAATTAACAAATACAACTGACTTAACCATGCAAGCTAAAAATGTGTGTTTTAAAATGTATCTGTTTTGTTCACGTAGGGCCCCTTAATAACATCATACGCTATAGGCCGCGCACTAGCTGCATCCGGCACTGTTCAGAGTCGGCGTAATTGGCGAGTTTTTGTCGAGTTTTTGACGAGCGGTGACACTTGAATATCGCGCAACGCACGCGCCACGCAGCGGCGCTTCGCTTTCCACCGCAGCGATGTGGCAAAGTGTCGTGTTGTTTGTTGTTGTTTGGTGTTGTTTGTTGTTGTTTGGTGTTGTTTGGTGTTGTTTGGTGTTGTTTGGTGTTGTTTGGTGTTGTTTGGTGTTGTTTGACTTGCCTTTGTTGTCGTGAGTGCGACGAGAGTGAGAGAGTGTGGCGGTGTGTGTGTGTGGCGGGGTGAGTGTGAGGGCGTGTGAGTGTGGTGGTGTGTGCGAGTGTGAGAGTGCGTGAGGGTTTGAGTGTTACAATGTGACAATGTGGTGGTGTGTGAGTATTTTGAGTGTGGTGGTGTGTGTTTGTGTGAGTATTGGTGTGTGTGTAGGTGAGGACACGGGGTGTGTGTGTGTAGGTGGGGACACGTGGTGTGTGTGTAGGTGAGGACACGTGGTGTGTGTGTAGGTGGGGACACGTGGTGTGTGTGTAGGTGGGGACACGGGGTGTGTGTGTGTGTAGGTGAGCACACGTGGTATGTGTGTGTGTAGGTGGGGACACGTGGTGTGTGTGTAGGTGAGGACACGGGGTGTGTGTGTGTGTGTAGGTGGGGACACGTAGTGTGTGTGTGTAGGTGGGGACACGTGGGGTGTGTGTAGGTGGGGACACGTGGTGTGTGTGTGTGTAGGTGAGGACACGTGGTGTGTGTGTGTGTAGGTGAGGACACGTGGTGTGTGTGTGTGTAGGTGAGGACACGTGGTATGTGTGTGTGTAGGTGAGGACACGTGGTGTGT